CAGACATCAGGTGAAGGAGCTGCAGTTAAGCAATTAGGCAGTTAGACAAGGTGGATAGATAACCTGCAGAGCCACATTCCCTGCTGGCCGAACAGCCCATAATTAAGTCCCTTCCTGCTTGCAACCCCCATAATTAAGTCCCTTCCTGCTCTCAACCCCCTTTGCCTATCTATATATGCCTTGAGAGTAAAATAAAATTTTGGAGCTTGATCAGACCTCCTGTCTTGCTCTCTTTCTTTGTGTCTCTTGTCCCTCTCATTCGCCGGCCCTCCCTTTAGGTCCCCGTTGAGGACCCCCGCTGGCCGGGGCACCTGGCGCCCAACGCTGGGGCTGAGGCTGCGGAAGGGCTTGGACCAAGAACACCCAGGCAAGCGGGATGACACCGGACCGCCGCGGCACACGGTCGTGAGTGAAGGTCTGGAGAAGAGATCGCCGTGGGATCACCCGCCCCACGAGACAGATCTGTGACAATGGACCGCCGCGGCACACGGTCATGAGTGAAGGTCGGGAGAAGAGATCGCCGTGGGATCACCCGCCCCACGAGACAGATCTGTGACACCGGACCACCACGGCCTAGTCTGGTCGTGAGTGAAGGTCCGGAGAGGAGATCGCCGTGGGACCACCCGCCCCACGAGACAGATCCGAGGAGAGACATTTGGTGTCGACGCAAGGTGAGTGAGTCACCATGGGACAAGCATTTAGTAAATAGGACCTGTTTATTTCAGGTTTGAAAGAATCTCTCAAGACACAAGGAACTAGGGTAAAGAAAAAGGATCTTAAAATTTTTTTTTTTACTATATTGGGGACATTTGTCCTTGGTTTCCTCAAGAGGGAACTATAGATGAAAAAAGATGGAAACAAATAGGAGATTGTTTAAGAGATTATTATCAAACTTTTAGCCCTGAGAAGGTGCCTGTTCAGGCCTTTTCTTATTGGAACTTGATAAACGATATTCTAAAGTTTTTTCTTTTTTTTTTTAAAAGAAAGAAAGAAAGAAAAAAAAAGTAAGGAAAGATTTAGGAGACCCCTAAAAGCAGCCAACCTTATGAAATTGATTTAGTGTCCGACTATGTTAAGCGGCAGAGATTCTAACCCCTCCTTTTAGGGAGAAACCTGCCGTTACTTCATTCAGGATCTTACAAGGAGGTAACACAATATTATCACACTACCAGACCTCCTGAGAGTGTAAACCAGAACTAATGAAGTTCACTATGTTCTCCATACCAGCAGCAGCGTCCTGCTACAAACAGCCTTTCTCGCTAAAATTAATTGAAATCCAAAGGCTAACTTGAGTTGTAAACTTCTAATTGCTAACTAGAAGCTCGGTCCAGCAGCCTTTATTTAAATAACTATGCAAGCCTCACAGCCAGAGCCCGTTTAAAAACTAATGGCAACTTCTAACTCTCCTAAAAAAGTGTCCCTTTCTCTCTTTCCTCTTTCTGGGTTGACTTTTAAGTTCTGGATAATTTACAAAAATCTTGGCCAAGTACAAGAACTTCAGTTAACCCATTTCAAAAAAACAGGTCCTAGTTAAGGGACGCCCTACTACGACCTGTATGGATTCATCAGACACCGAAGATGTTTGGGGATTGGAATCCTAAACATCTGCCTTCTTCCCTCTGAACCTAACTATCTGCTATCTGCATCTCAGCTCACTTCCTCACTTCCCTTCTCCTCACCTTGCCATTCCCGGTGGCTGTCTGGCTTGATACAGACTGGACAAACCGGCTGCAGCTGCTACAAAAAAAAAAAAAAATCCTCCTCTGTTTTAATATAAAACCTAAGTTCTAAGTTTATAGAGACAACTAACTTATAAATTGTTAAATAAGTTTACTTTAGTTAAAGATAATTAAAAAATAAGACTTATTGATTGATTGGCCAACGTAAACTGTAAATTGTTAAGGATAAGTTGTACTTAAACTATAAGTAATTAGAGATAATTATTAGGATACAAATTAAAGCTTGATCATTTTATGATCAAATTTTCTAATGTATGCAAAATCATATTTATATACATGCTGAGTATGCTAAATTTCACATAATCAATTCATTACTTAGCCTCCTACCATTTTAAAAGTTTAAGCTTTGAACAAAACTGCCATACCCCTTATTGCCAGGGTTTTGTCCAAACTATGCTTTGAGATCATTTACATTATATCCCTATTTACCAGGCCTAAAAGATAATTTGCCTTGCTATCCAAATTCATAGAAAAGATACCTTGCTAAACAGATTTCAAAATAATCTTTGACTGTTCCTTTGTTTAAAAAAATTCACCATATTGGCTGCTCTCAGTAATCAATCACCTATATCTCCTGATAAATTAAATACAAAAATGCTTCTAGATGTAAAGTTTTTATAAGGATATGAATGATTAGATATAAAAAATGTTTAAGAATGTTAAGAAATAGTTTATTATATGTGTAATGCAAGTCATTGAAATAGAAAAATATACATATAAACATCTAGATATGTTATAAATGATACATAAATCTCACTAAATAACCTAGAGATACTGAGGCTGTATACATAAGTTAGATCTATGGATAAAGTTTTTATTGAGGTCTGA